ATTTGGTTCAGATGACATCACTTAAGCAAAGCCGAGTGTGTGTGTGTCGGACGGCCTTTGCTTCCTTTATTTTTTGTTTGTTTCATCTCGGTCTTCAGCTTTGTTTACACACCACCAAAAGTCAGATGCACTTTTTTTTTTTTTTTTTATACACGAACCATTTCTTTCTTGATTTATATCGATTTTAAACTATTTTGAAACCAGAGTTATAAATATTTAATTTAATTCAGGCAATGCAAGCCCTGTCTTTTTTTTTTTCTTCATTCACTCATTCATCTTTTAGGTTATAATAATCCACTGTCTGACATTAATTATGTGGCTGGAAGTGGATGCCCTGGCTCAATGACTCAGGTGGTGAACAAGAAACGGAACTAAGCCCCCGAGGGAGCCAGTACGAGCCCACGCAAGTTGGCTCAAAAAGGCCGTACTTTTTTTTATGTTGTTGACCAAATAGTGCAACACCTAAATTAAACAAATTAAAAAAAAAATATATATATATTCAATTTTTTTCTTTTTTTAAATTGCGGCGTTGCACATTTTCGCCGTACGCAGACTACACCCAATCCCACTGTACGCAGCCATTTTCCCCGCTACATCTGCCAGAAAAAGTTTTCTGCTAAACGTTTTCGCTAGACGTTCGGGACAACCATGGCGTCACGCGAGACTGTGGCGTCACGCAAAACTGTGACGTCACGTGAGACTGTGGCGTCACGCAAAACTGTGATGTCACGTGAGACTGTGGCGTCACGCAAAACTGTGACGTCACGTGAGACTGTGGCGTCACGCAAAACTGTGACGTCACGCGCCACGACGACCCTACAGGAAACACACACCTGAGGATCCGCTGCGAAAGCTCGCAAATGACGGCCATCACAGCCAAAACATGTCGTGAAATGACCTCACAAAAAATATTCAATACGCAAAAAGAAAACGCATTGCAACAATGTTTCATTTTATTCACATTCTCGCTATTGTGGTATACAATAATATGTTTGCGTACAGAATTCCCCATCTCATCAACTACTTTTTTTTTTTTTTTATTGAGAGTTGTGTTGCGTTTGTAACGCGATCACTTCATTTTTTCGTAAAAGCACCATCAAACAGCCTTTCGAGTAAACATAAGTAACACCAGGTCTCAACGTAGGGAAAAAGAAAAGAAAGTTGGAACATTCGGGAGACAAAACAAAAATACATTTAATCGCCGGAAGAAACCACTATAATATTAACTAAAAACCTCGTGACAAAGGAAACAAAGAAGACAAGCACCACTGTCTCATATATGAAACGGTGTACGTCATCCTTGTTTCCTTATGTCTCGGGTTTTGAAAATTATTATTGCGCATCAGCTCGCTTGCGTTTTGACTCTTATATCAGAATTAACCACAGTTGCACGATGCCCAACGTCCAACTCCGCGGATAAGAAATTCGTCTTTGTAGAGAAGTCGCAGAGAAAATTGCGCTTTGCGTGACAAAAATAAAATATTCGTACATTGTACGTACTTCGTTTGATCCCAAAACAGCGTCTCCTACTCACCAGAGCGCGCGACATTCCACGCCTGTAGCACAGAGGCATTGACTTAACACAAACCAGTGACGTCATAAAGTACCTGCGACGCATAAGGAAACCAGTGACGTAATAACGAAGCAGCGTTCCAAAACAGGAGCTCTCGCGTCTCAGTACAACTTCATCTCGGCTAAAACATCACGAAACAACAAAAGTGGCGTAAGCATGTGGCCAGTTCAAGTCCATTAAATTCTCAAAGTCGAAATGATTAAAAGTTCTTTCTCTTCGATTACGTGAGGAATCCACGTCACAAAGTAGTCGACATTTGTCGACGTTGCTCATTAGCTACACGTATACTATGGCGTTCAATGTGAGCTAAAACAGTCCTTGTTTCTTCGTTGTGGTCCGAACCATGGAATGCACCGCGAAGTTGAGGTCACACACTTCGGACTCGTCGACAAATTGGGAAATAATCGAACTCGTGGGGACCGCAGACACAGAATAAAAATAAAAAAAAAAACAAAAAAAAACTGGATCGGGTGTTTCAGGTCATATTGATTGCGATATGCCACGAGACCACGAGCTCACGAGACATGAGCTCGTGAGGGTGCTGGATGGCGCATTGAGCAAACAGGTACGAAGCCACCGGAAGTAAGTCGATTGTCCCGGAAGTGAGCGCTTGACAGGCTTTTCAACTCTTCCAAGTGCTTGTTCGAACCAAAGTAACGTTGGTTCGAGCATCGTTCAGGGCGCTCGATTTCTACTCGTCATCTCAAGAGGGCCCGCTTGTTGCGCAGTTACAGCTCATGCAGACCCAAAAGGTCTCCCGAAAAACCAATCAAAATAAACATTTTGAAAAAAAAAAAAGGGTGTGAATGATTTTACAGCCTGAAGTTAGCCTGCCACAACGGGCGACTTGTCTTCCAGCTGTAGATGAGAAATTTAGCCACTGCAGTGCAATTACTAGCCTGGGGTCTTTTACGTGCACCACACAGTAGTGATACACGACCGCACGCCGGTACGATGCTCATTCAGATCGAAACGAGCGGAGGTGGGGATTCTAAACCAAGGATCCCTAGGGTTCTGCAGCGCGAGCTTCCGCTCCACGTCCTCCGAGCTGGTGTGCGCTTGCCCACTCGGCACCCGATCCCCCCCGTGAACATTTTGAGATTCTTGTTGACCAAGTGTGCACACGTTCGACGTTCCAATGCCCTCTTCCCGGGATTTAATTCAAAACGGGATTATTAAAACCCGCACAAAGGCACAAACAACTTACAAGCACGGACCAAAACATCGACTGAACGGAAACCCAGCAGACGCTCGCCTTCCGGGACAAGCATCGGAACTTCCGGTGGGTTCACTTGCACCAGGAGGAGGAGGAAAGAAGGAGAGAGAGGAGGATTGGAGAGGATGCGCCATCCAGCCTCCTAGATCAGTACATGGGACCAATCAAACAGTGTCGAAAGCGCATGTCACCGAGTCTTCCCTTACATGATTGGCTCAGCGATGATATAGAACACGTACAAAAACATGACGAGGACCATGCTGATTCGCTTTTGACGCTGTATATGATAGGGCCCATCAACACGAAGTGCCGCTGCAAGCTGGTGACTCGTACAACAAATAACAAAAGTATGCGACCCTGGACACCAGGACATCATCACTGCCGGTCGCCGACACAACAAAAAACAAAATATCTGGCCAAGCGACAAAACATTTGCGTTCGAATGCGTTGCGACCGCTTACCGGAGATCACACTGGCGCCATCTATCGGGCAGCACTGGAACACTCGCCACCTCCGTTGAGTTCCCAACTTCTTACGCAGCAACTTCTTCCTCCACGAGCTCGAAGTGTGTCCGACAACATTATAAGCGACCGTCTCTCGTAGATAGCGCGTCGACTTGATCTCATAACGCAAAACCCTCCAGTCTGGGGGTTATACTCGGGGACCGGTGGTGTTTCCAGGAGTACTTGATGGATGGCGCTAGCGTGCCGCGTGTTCTCCCGCCGTAGAAGTGTTCACACGCCGTTCCGCGGACAAAGTCTGTCCGCAGACATTGTCCGCGGACAATTCGATCGTCGCATCTGCAGCGACACCGCGTCTTGGCTTGAGTGGTCAGAACTATACGGCGTATCGCGTTTGGACATTCGATGTATGTCTTCTTTACGTTCTGAAGACGAAGCGCACGAAAATAAGGTAGACAAAATTGCAACGTCAGAACATCAGAAGAGGCTCCTGCCCTCCCAGGTATTGGAGAAAGTGGCGCCACTATGTCAACCAATGAGAACGGGCTATTTTTCTGACGTCACGAAAGTTGGAGGAGCGTTGGCGAATTGCGGGCGAAACCTCTCCTGCTGCTGTCACATTAAAGAGAGAGAGAGAAGGAGAGAGAAATGCATTAATCAATCAGGGACCCCACGAGCACCTAGTTGTCCGCTCATTGACGATCCGATCACGTGGTCTAATAAAAACGGACGTTTTGCGTGTATATGTACGCTGTGAACGATACTAACCGACAGCTTAAGGTTGACGCCTCTTGATTCGTTATTTGGCGTTCTTATGCCACGATCTGATTGGCTGCTGAACGATAATGAGATGCAAACGGTTAGCCACGCTCTCTGAGCGTTCCTTAAGTAAGTTAGAACGCGACTGGGCTGCAAAGGGCAATGGGAAAAAACGGAGAGCTTGCACACCGGTCCCGTAGGGGCTTCGTTTTGTACTTCCGTCGTGGAAGATTCCATTAAACTCAGGTGCGGAAGTTGTATATATTGCGCGCCCGCATCAAAATGAAATTTGATGAAACTTCCGTTCGAGCGGGAAAGATGATTCAAGTCGACGCGACGAACGCGCGCCCTAACGCAGAAATCACGGCGGGGGAAAATATGCCAGACTCAGACAGATATTGCGCAAGCCGGTATGATCGCACGAAGAGTAAAATAACATAAAATAAAAAAAAGGACTACCGCAACAAAAACGCGTGCAATATACCCCACGCCTGTTTCACGGACGTTGTGAGCGTGGTGCACCTCCGCGCTTCATTTCCTGCGCGATACGAGATATGCCGGAAACAAGGACATCGCTAGAAGCACTCCAGCCTTCCCATCTAAACAAAAATAAAAGGAAAAAAAAAAGCCAACCTCGACTGAATTGGAACGAAAAGTCTGATCTTAGAACGCGTTCAAAATAAACAGTAACGACGCGTGAATTTTCTAAGAAAACAGGACCTCCGTGATGGCGGTATGGGACGCGAAACCACTAACCGGCTGACGTGTTTTTTTGTGTTTTTTTTTTTTTTCAGTTTTTTAACTTTTTGTATAAACATTCTTTTTTTTTTTTCAGAATTGCGCGTTATTTAGTAGTGGATGCACAAATTATTTAGTAGCTGCTGCACAAATGAGGAGACGGTTGATTTGTTTTCTTTTTTTTAGGGTCTGTTAAGAACGAGAGCAAGAATTACCGCCAACGGCTTTCCCCAGTGCCCATCGTCAGCACGAACTGTAAGCAAGGCAATTTATGTGGTCTGCCACGATCAAGAGTTTTGACGATAAGGAATCTGGCGAACAACTCGCTTCCCCGTGCGCTTGACCACAGATCGCACACAGGTATGGCCGCCAGACAAGAGCTTGCTGATCCTGTTAAAGGTAAGGTCTACTACAGGAAAAATACCGCCTTCAAACTGCCAGAGAAAAATGATATCCTCAACTCAATAAAAACGAACTTTTTTTTTTTCCTGGCAATACAAAATAGGATTTAGGTCAAGTTACCATTGACATGAGGATGCATGTAAACCGCGTCCGATGTTGCGCAGGAGAGAGCTACTCGGCATGCTCAGAATCCGTTCCACAGCCCTGAAAACAAAGATGGCGACTCACGAAGGCGCCTATTGGAATGGCCCATAGCCACATACGTATGCAGTTGCTTAGAGTGAGCTCAGTGGTGTCTCGCGCATGCCACTGTACCTTAGTTCACCAGGAGATTAACTGCTGGTCCACCGCCTCATGTGCGGCTGAGCTTGGCTCGTTGTGGGCAGAGCCTCTTCCCTCGATCTTACGTTGCAAGAGACCGTAAGAGCTAGTTCAAGACGAAGGCGCTAGTCCGAGAGAACCCTGTAGCATTTTGGAGAACGACGACGGCGTCTTGCTGGTCGTCGGAGCGGGTGCCGTGGCCTTCTTCGTTGTGAGCCGGTACTTCCTCTTCATGTCCCTTTGGAAGACGACGAAGCGCCTCCGGTTCAGGGCGTTCTGGCGCTCCCTCCAGTAGCCCATGGAGCGCTTGTTCCGCATGCCGCGATGCACGGCGAAGGCTTCGTCCAGCACCCAGAACTCGAACCCGGCCAGGTGGGTCTCGTACACCTGGCCATACATGAAGCTTTTTTTTTTCATCGCACACAGTATGATTAATGGTGACAAAGGAACACACGACACTTGTGTGCAAGCACAGAATATTTTGCTGTAGACAGTTCCAAACAAACGCCCTCCCACGGTGAAGACATACAAAGGGAAAATACAGGTGGGCGATCTTTCGGGAGTGGGCGTTCATTCGGTATTTTACGGGCACGGGTTCCCTCTCCTGATCTTAACGGAAGAAAGACGAACGACGATGCTCATGAACCTTTGTTAGTTCGTATAAAATGGTACTAGTTGTACTGTGTTAAGCACCAACAGCTAGCAACTTGCAGCAATTAAAGGATCTGCAAACGAAAAATTTACGTCGTACCTTTCCTCTAAGCCTCCCCTTGTCTGGCTGCACGACGCCATTTTTGAGTAAAGGCGGCAGCGAGGGGAAGCATTTCGAACAATGAATCGCGCAACGTTTATATAGTATATCTACAGGGGCTTTAGTAGCAAGCACAGCACAATTCGTCAAACAGGAACAACATCGATGGTAGGCTATATTACTGCCTTAATGCGCCTTTCACCGCGCGAGGCATTCTTTTGCGTGCACATATTCTATTCGCAACTTTATCGGCGAGCGTTTAATCCCCTTTGCTCCGCGTCACATTTCGGCCACCTGACCGCGCCACTTTAAAGGGGCGATGCAACGATTTTTGTATTTTGCGCAAATACCGCTTAGAACGGATCTCTGACGTTAATGACCTGTGAAATGCCCGTTTGTTTTTCACCACACGTAATCGAAGTCACAGAAAAAAAATAAAGAAAAACGAGCAGAGGTCATGCCCTCAACTCGCAGCCAGAACAAGCGGCCACGTGATCTGGAGCCGATTATATGCCGCCAATGTTGATCATAGCCATGCGCTGGGGTTGGCAAGGCATAGGACACGCGCTGCGTTCCAGACATCGTTATGGTTCGGCTGTTGTCGTCATTGCAGCGATTGGACACAGGACACTACCCGAATGCTTCTCGAGCTGTCGATTATCACGAGCCCAAATTGAGTGCCCACGCAATGCTCGGGTCCAATCTATAAGCCGCATTCAAATATCGTCACTGGGCGGTACAGCTACCGCCGAGCTACGTCATCAGGTTTTGCGAAGGAGAGATTGAATGAAAACGCTCGGTTTTGTCCTCGAAATTACAGCGCAACAGAGGAGTTTCTTGGTCAGTGCCGTTGCGTCCGAGTATCCTTGAGTCCCATTAGTGCCAGTAAGCTCGTGTAAAGTGAAAAACATTACAATTGAATATCGTTGCACCGCCCCTTTAAGCTGTCCCCTTGGGTAGGCAGCTCCCTGCCTCTCTTTCGCGGCTTCTCCGCTAGGTGGCGTCGCCGCCTCTAAAGTTGCGAATAGGCAACGCTTTCAGGGGTAATTAACAGATATCGCCAGAGTTCCTGCCAGTCAGTCGACGCTCACTTGACATTATCCATCCATCCAACGACTGTGAAGTTAGAGTTTGTTTTTGAAATAATTGATGCCTGAAACATCCGTAGGAGCCGGCATGACCATGCAGACGCATGAACGGATGAAGAGATGGTCACTCTATATATACTAAATAAGCTACGTTTTAAGTATCGATTTGCCAATTGGTCGCCGCCATTTTGGTGCTTAGCATTCGATTTAAAAATGAACCTTCCTGAGCATTATAGGTATTCGGTGTCAGGAACCTCAGGCGATTTCGTTTTCTCCGTCGAAGCCAGCTTTTACATAGCTGGGGGACGTTAAAGCGCTTCCAGCGATTTCAGATAAAGCTTCAGATAACTGGCAACAATGATTTCAAGCACCAAGATGGCGGATGTGCCGTTCCTCTGAAGCATTTAGTGGCTGGAGGCTACTCCATTGATCGGTTAGCAGGAGGTGAAATCAACACATAAAAAGGCGGGTTGTTTGATGAACTGCGCGGTGGATAAACGGTGGAGGAATATTTATGGACGCGTGACACACTGCACCTGGAGGTCGTTTGTCATCCAAGCGCTCGAGCGGAGACGTGCACTGGAGTGATGGATGAACAAGCGCAATAAACTATGGTCGGTGACAGTTTAAGAGTGAAGTGGAAGCTCCTCCCACTTCTCTCCACTTTAGCAAAACGAACGCTAAAGTGGGAGGAGCTTCCACTTCACTCTCAATTTGTCACCGGCAATAAGCCCGTATAAATGAATGATGACACAGGTATATATGAATGAACGGGCTCACCTTGCATGCACCGATGAACAAAGGAAACGATACACTGGCTCAGCGAATTCAGTCAAACACTCCGGCTGTGACGCTCATTCGATTCGTTGCAGATTTCGCCACATTAAATAAATGCATGTATACGAACCAAGTTAGTAACTCCGTAATTTAGTTTTCATCAACAAAAATATGAGTAAGTGTGTTTCAGGCTGCATGCAGGGGACCACGTGACAATCAAGATTATGTGGGTTTACGTGCCAAACCAACGGGGAGCATCAACTTACAAGAGAAAGTTTTAGTAGATCCCCCTGATAAGTTCGATAACGGCACCCGATATTCCGCCGAAGCCTTTGCGCATGCATCGTTTCGCTATCAGGTACCGTTATCGGAGCTGTCGGAGCCATCTACTAAAACTCCCCAATGGCACTCAGCAACAGGTGGACAGAGGGAATTCGTGTAATTTCACTTGAAGGTGTCCTCGGAGTTTATATCTTACTTCTGATCACGTGGGACTGCTGTCATCTGCCATCTTGGCATTACGACCTGTGGCTTAATGAGAACTCAAAACGTCCATCCGAAACATCCAGGAAAAATCAATAATACCTAAAAAAAGTGTAAACATGCGATTCCTGACAAACTAACCTGAGTGTTCCTGGTGAACCCGTAGCCGACGAACCTCTCGTCATAGCGCGGCACGTCTTTGGCGGCCACATAGAAAGGTTCGTAGAAGAACTCGTACCTCTTCACGCTGTACGCGGCACGCAGTCCGTCGCCGCGCTGCTTCAGGCCTTCCCACATGCCGTGGTTCGTGGCGTATTGGTTGTGGATGAAGGACTTCTGGTGGAAAGGCCTCGCCTCCTTCCGCCGGACAAGGTGCAAAAGCTCCCGTTTCGTCCTGGGCACCGGCGCAGTCTCGGACATCTCGTAAGTGGGCACCACAAACACGCACTTTGTACACGGAAGGGTCCGCCCGAAGAAGTCGGACAGTTCCTCCCAGAGTCCCGGCTTGGGCATAATGTCGATGTCCGTGAGAAAGAAGTACCTCTGGGCGCAGCCGTCCCTGGCCACGTTCCGGAGATGGTTCTGAGGGTAGAGCATCTGTTTGGCACTTCCCTTGACAACTTTCGTCTTGCCGACGTTCTGTAGAACCTTCAGGAGAACGGCGTGGGTGCCGCAAGAAAAATCGGAGCCGAGTTCGTCCGACCACACGGTCTTCCTGGTCAGGTTCTCGTCAGCCGGATACACCAGATCCACTCGCATGTTGGCCTTGATGGCTTCCGAGCAGGAACGGATGAGGGAGAGATACACCTTGACGGCTTGGAACTGCGCCGAGTTGGCTACGAAGACCGCCAGGGACACCGGCCCGTTCCAGAGCTGGACAAGGTCGACGAGCCAGGAGAGGCGGTCTAGGGAGCCCTGCGTCGCGAGACAGACGTCTCCGCCACCGTCTTGAGGTCCTAGTTCCACTTGGGGCGACAGGAACCTACGGGCGATCTTGTACTTGCGGCTGGCATCAAGCGACTGCTTGTCGACGTCGAACTTGAAGGGTGCCCTGCTGGCTAGGACGTCTAGGATGTGGACGTGGTCTTCGGTTGCTCCCAAGAGGACGTCGCCCGATTGTCCGTACCTCCAGCGGTGGTTTGGTGCGGTCGTTTGGTTCGGGTGCTTGTCCGACGGACTGTTCTGCGACGAGTGTTCTAGGCGGTTGAAGATCAAGAGGCCGAATAGGTTGCAGGTGAACAGGACGCCGATGACGAGGAAGACCGGAGTTCGCCTCAGGACGTTTCGGCTTCCCAGCCGATGTGGCCTCGGCATCACCGGCTACGAACACCTGGCCATAAAGATGACGACGAAATACAACATCATGAAGTGGAAGTGACCTGCCTGATTTTAACAAGATATGTAGTTTCCTGCATGCATGGCGTGGTAGTTTCCTGTTCTTAACGTGATGTGGAAGCTTTCTGCCTGTTCTTAACATGACGTGGCAGTTGTCTGCATATCCTTAACTTGACCTGGTAGCTTTGCGCTTGTTCTTAACATGATGGTATCAATAACGGATGGGCACACACTAAAGAAGCAGATGGCGGACATGCGCTTTCTTTTTGGTTTATAATTCGTAAACGTCTCGCTAGCCACAACTTTTCTACATCAGTGGCATCGGAATGTTATGCGGAGGGAGAAAGGGGTATTGCCCTCTTCCCCCCGAGTTGATATAAGTATGCCGAAGGCCGAATCACGAAGCGGGAAGATACGTAATAAACCACGCCCTGCGTCTCTTCAACTGTCAACCCCCTCCCCCCTTTTGTTCTGACGCCATTGTTCTGCATCTCTGAAACTTTTATGGCAGGCAAAACTTTGTAACTTACGCTTAGTAGCCACGGGGACGTAACATTTTTTGGTATTAAGCATCCACAAAATATGTCTCAACTGAAAAAAAAAAAAAAGAAAAAGAAAAATCTTCTAGAATTTACTTTATGCCGACCACCGGGTTGACAATCCGAGACAATCCGACACACGGAACTGAGAGCGACGACATGAGAACACGAAAGCTCGCTCTCTGCCCCGTTGTTTCGATAAACAGGCGCTCTGATTGGCTCGCGGGAGTCACGTGAGTGCCGGCAGCTCGGATCACGGCCTCTAACGAAACAATAGCACGCTTCATTGGGCTCAGCCCCGGGAGCGGGCGTGTACGTGCGTTGCGTTGTTGCGTCACGGCTGTATACATGACGGCAGTCGACGGTCGTGTCAACGAGGTCGGGACAGTGTTGCATACACGCCGCGCCAACCCTCGTGGGAGGCGTACAAATTTCCTACGCGAGCGGATACCTACAATGTTCTCCATAAAGATATACTATAGTCCGCTGCAACTCAAGAAGGTAGGGCGAGGGTAAGACAGGCTGGGGAGAAGGAAGCAGACGGAACGCTACAGAGAGGAAGAAGGAGGTTTCCTCCTCTCTTTTCCGGCGTTCCGTCTGCTTCCTCCTCCCGGGCCCCGTCTTACCCTCGCCCTACCTTCTTGAGTTCGGACTCTGGCGGTTTCGAACCGTGACGTCACGAGTTGTGGCCCTACTTACCATCAGTTGCGACGACAAGTTTGATCGGGTGTTGAAAGAGCAAAGTGGAACTTAGGAACCGTCGCGTTCTGAAACTGACACCGCCGAAAATGAGTCTAACAATGCTCTTCGCTTCTTTTTTTTTTTTTTTTTTTGTCACGCACGTCGCTTACAATATATGCTGAAGACATTGGATGCTATACGTACGCGCATGCACGTACACGCACGATGAGTATAGATCACATATATTTAGACCACATATTCAACTCCTCGAAAGAAATTACAAAGGAAAAAAAAAAAAAAAAAAGTCTCTACAGAACGCCCGATGAAAGGAGACCGCGCCCACGAGGCGGCTTCCATTAACCCTCTAAACTCTGGCTTTCGGGTCCACGCCAGCAGTTCATCACACACGCACTGGTATAAGAATAAATGAAAAAAATGAATAAAGAACAGGGCCAGTGAATGAGCTTTCGTGTTTGGAAGGGCCAACGCCCAGGCAACGGATGACCGAGCAAAGCTCAAAGGTGGTGGCGCGCCTTCGTCGAGCGCCGAGGCAGTATCGACGAAAAACCGCCGCACTTCTCGGGTTTCCCCCCACGATATTAAAATGCGCGGGCTGGAAAAGAAAACGTTCGGTCGCGAGAGAGGGTGCCACTGCAATTAACTAACTATCTTGTGTAAGATAGGGCTGGACTTTCACCAAGTTTTTCTCAAACCAAAAGTAGAAGGAAAAAAATTGGAAAAAGGTGTGGGGGGGGGGGGGGGGGGGGGGGGGGGGGGATTGAAATTGGGTTTTATTCCAACTAAACACTACTGCTACTACTGCCAAGTAGTGATTGTACCCTGCATTTCGAAAAATCAGAAACCCACAAATAAAAGCCCCAACAACAACAAAAAAAAAAAAAAAGAGGCAAGCTTTTGGCCGTTTATAACGAGGTTCGTATGCCCCGCTGGTCTCGTACGAGGTGCACATCGATTAGATTGGGCAACTATCGATCACGGCTCTCCGAGACGAAACGTACACCGGTCACGAACAATAGACTCCCAGGCTGATCAATGCATGCGGTTCCGGTCCCCGGATACGCTATGACAAGCTGACGTACAGTCCCCAACAGTACGAAAGACCCATTCGACAGGGCAGTCATACAAGCGGTTGTGAAGGAATCGCACCGGCCGGGCCTATGGAATCACTAAAATAAGCTACGCCTCGAGTAGCGACACTGCAACAATCGGATGGATGGATAATAATGGCTGTATACCTTTTACAACGGGCGGTAGCTTGCGCCACCTAGCCTTAACTCGTGATTGAAATCCCGTTTGAATCGTGACTTGTATCGCACAGATTTGGCTTTGACGATTTAAATCAAACACTTTTCCCCAAAACAATACTGAAAATATTTTCTATCTATCGTTTTTCAATCAGCGTATGTTTCCTATGGACATTCTTTTTTGTATTTAAAGCCGAGAATGATCAAGTAGAAAAGATTTGTACCAGGCAGCCATAAAAATAATAAACACACCTAGTAGCGATAAAAAACAACAAAAAAACACTCTTTTCTACCTGAAGTGATATAAATCGTGCAAGTCTGTTCTAAATAAAATAAAACTGATCAACTTAAGCAAAGCAATCATTATGTTTTCACTTCTTTTTTTCTTTTTTCGCTAACGTGTGCAGCAGTATTACTATTACATAAACTGTCTCAACGAAATTTCACTCCAACGATCATATTAGAGGAGCACACGGATTACACAACAAGTCCGCGTCTGCCCGCACCAGGTGGTGGGTAGGTGTGGGCATTGCGCGTGCGCACAAATCAGACTCGTGAAGAGCTTCTGCGCATGCGCCGACAGCAGCGCCACCGTGGCGGCGTGACGTCGCAGTCGTACAGCTTGTAGCGTGGTCGAACTCCGCGCGATAAAACAGTCCTTAATGATAACAGAGATCAAATAATATTGGAAATAGAAAAAAAAAAAAAGAAACATGGTTCAAACAAAACATAACGGCGATAAAGAAAGAAAAAAGAAGATAAAGAAGATAAAAAAAAATAACAGATCATAAGAAGAAACGAGGATCGGACGGAACACAGACGCTGACACATATTTTTCTAACTCGCAACGACAATTTATCGTCGATAAATTGTCGCGGCGAGTTGAAATATATATCTGCGCGTCAGCCTGAGTTTCTTCCACTTCTCGTTTATTCTTTTTTCCTTAATATGGCTGACCTACGCGCTCATACTCACGCGCTCGCTACAAATTTGATGGTGTTGACTCTACGAACGCTTCGGGCGGTAATAATTCATACGCTATCCATTATGAGAAAATGATTCGGAGAAACCCTTTTCTCGCGCGCCAGAATAGCCCTTTTTGTTATCTTATCGAGATGCCCAGCCACTGATATCGGTCATGACAAACTCGCACAAACAATGCGCTGAGGACTGCACTGCGCGTCTAAAACGTCGACAAGCTATCGCGCAGCAACAATAGAGAGTTTTAGTAGATGGTTCCGATACCTCCGATAGGCCCGACAACGATACTATGCATGCACAAGGGAGGCGGCGGCGGAGTATCGGGTATCGTTATCGGAGTCATGGGAACGATCTACTAAAACTCTCCAATAATGAAACCAAGGAAGCGAAATAGAAGAAAACAATAGAGTGCCTTCATACACACGCGCGCTTTTGCTTGAGTGGTGACATCTCAGAGATTTTTCCGCCCAATCGTTTTTTTATGCATTTTGAAGTGCGCGCAATCCGGTGTCACTCACCAAGAGCGCGTAGCTCTGGCTAATGCATAGACGCCATTTTACTGCCCAAGTCCCGCACCGAGTGCGCGAGAGTCACGTGCTGACACATTCAGGGCAATAATGGATGTCTTCACCCTGAGACAGACAGACATGAAGGCACCCTAGAAAACAAAAAATTGGCCGCGACCTTCAGCTTCGAATTCCTTGATGATTTTCGGAAAATCACGTAGATTCGGTGTATAGGTCGTGTGACGGTAATTTTCCAGCTAAATTTAGCGGGAAAACTAAAATTATCCGAATGTCTCGTGACGTCAGGTCACGTGAATTTAATTTTCCCGCCAAACTTAGCGGGGACACTGAGTTGGTATATAGTAGGTCATGTGACGTAATTTCTTTCCGCTAAATTTAGCGGGTCACGTGAATTTAATTTTCCCGCCAAACTTAGCGGGGACACTGAGTTGGTATATAGTAGGTCATGTGACGTAATTTCTTTCCGCTAAATTTAGCGGGGTAAACTGAAGTGGTCTGTAGGTCCTGTGATGTCAGGTCACGTGACATCAAATTTCCCGCTAAGTTTAGAGGGAGAAAACTGAAATCGTGTACAGGTTATGTGACATAAATTTCCACGCAAAATTTAGCGGGAAATGCATTTTTAATGCATTTCCCGCCAGGTTGTTGCCAGGTTATTGCCGTTTTAGATTCGACTGTGTACCCTTCGACCACAGCGCTGACCTTTGTGGAGGCCCGTCAAAGCCCGCTTCAGTGGCTAAGACAAGAGAGAAGCTCAGCAATGGTGGCAGCTTCAATCTGGCGCGTGTCCAAACCGTCCGACCCGTCGCTCTCGGGCAGTGGGCGCGAGCGCGTCTGCTAGACGCGACCATGTTATGCTGGCAGCACCATCCAGGCGGCGCTGTAACGCCCGATTTCGCGCGTGCCACGTTCGAATGCAAGCATCTGTCAGCATCTGTAGACGCGCGATAACAAAACGTCTAAAAAAAAAAAAAAAAAAAAAAAAAAAAAAGAATTATGCAG